AGCCCATGTAGGAATCGGGCCATAGTAGCCTCCCGTGCCTCCGTAACATTAGCCCTAATCATGGAAACCTCCATCTCTTTGTAATATTCATCAACACTTCTACTACCTTGTATGAGCCTTTGGAGCTTGTTGTGAAGATCTCTTTGATAATGAGAAGGAACAAATCTTCTTCTCATCAACCTCTTCATTTCTTCCCAACTTTCCACCAAGGGTTCTTCATATCTCACCCTTTCGCTTCTATTCGAGTGTCGTCATTCAAATGACGACACTCAAATAGAAGGGAAACAATTTAGGGTTAGGTTTTAAAAGTTGATTTGATTAGAAATAGAAAACAGAAAAACATAAAAGATACCGTAGGCGCACAAATAAGAATATTTGATAAGCTAAGAAGGATCGCCACAAGAATCGAATAATTCTTGATAAGATCAAGTGATGCAAGGAAGAACCCTAGCAGAGCAACAACTCACAAAGTGATTCTGAATATTATGTACGTTCATTCTGAATTCCCAAATGTTTAATACAACTTAAGTTTATGAGTTTGTCTCATTGCAGGAAATAAAACTAAACTAAAACCCATTAATTGATTAATCCAAAACACAATTTGGTCAACCAACAATACTTGTTGAAGAACTTCTACATTGAAGTTCATGCTCAGACCACAAGCCCAAGGTCGAAATGTGAGAAATACAGGAAGTTTGCAAATCAATGAAACACTTCTACATTATATCCTTGTTCATATATCGATTCCTTGGGCGACGGATTTTGCAAAATTGACATTGGAGGATACTTTTATGTTGTAGGCATTGAAAAGTAATATTCCAATTAATTAGATTATGTAACACATGTTGAAATACAAGAATAATAAAATGCATCTTCCATACACTATATTCATAACACGCATAATGGTTCACTATGGCGTGGATTTGACGTTGAATTCCTTCTTCGTTTTGGATTGGACTCATTACTTTAGTAAAAAAACGTTGAACAAATTAAATTTTGTTTGTATCAATGACGTGTGGTAACATAGAAGGGTCAACTAAGAAGATGAAAATGACAACAATGAAGACCCTACAATACTTCAAGATGATTCAGCCAACCTTAAATAAGAAGGTTTTGTCCACCATGAACTAGTTCAACTGCATTCACTCTTCCATGATAGTCAAATGTTATCACAAATTTTTAGAGGATTCAGGACATGCAAGTAAGAATGCAACAGATGGAAGATGATTTAACAAATTTATACATAACTGTTAGTACAAATTTTAATAGGATTCATGATAGAATTAACCATTTGAATGAGTAATTTAGCGACTTTTAGGACTCCTTTCAATATAATTTATGTCTTTATTTGCTTATTATTATATTTATATTTATTATTATGTATGTCACATTACACTTTGAATATTTATTTCTATTAACTTCATGTTTATTTATTATGCATTTTTTCCTATAATTTTAGAATTAAGTATACAATTTATTTTATCAAATTTCATTCTTAATCATATACTTAAATTTGAATTAATTTAATAATTAACTTATTATAATTTTATTAATTTAAATTACATTTCATTTAAACAAATTATGTAAAATTTTCAATAATTAATTTCCATGTACTTCATTTTATTATAAATTCATATATTTAAATTTTATATTTTAAATAATATATCATATATAATTTAATATTATTTACGTCAACTATATTTTATTCTAAAATATTTATTTACGATAATACTAAAAATGTATTCTTATTTTTTATCAATTAAATTATAACTTTTTAATTGATCAAATCAATTATATTATTTATAAACTTTCACAAACTTTTATCTTATTTATTTTTATTTCTAATCAATTTTTTTAATCCAATTAATCTCAATTTTATCTATTCTTTTTTCCTCTTCAAATCAACTCATTTATATTATCTTAAATTCATCTCAGATCTAAAACACACTAAAAGATATTTCAATAAATTAAAAATAGAAAAAAAAATATAAATTATCTATTTTACTGAGACCTGTATGCATAACCTTTTCAGTTAACTATTTCTTGTGAATATATATATACCCGTACACAGTTTCACATCAATACACGTTAAAGAAAACATTTTGTCCCCGAGATTGGATGAAATGATAATGAGGCATTAACATGAAGGGGGTTGAAGATTAAAGAGGACTTCAGCGGCATATTGGATTTTAGCAGAGGTGTGTCTTCGAATGTGTGGTGTTGATTTTCTTAGAAAATTGATAAAGTAATTATGGATAGTAAAGAAAGATTGTCCAACTTTCGGAGAAATATATAAGATGAGAGTTTTGAGGATGTGATGGATATGACACATAATCATAACATGCTTGGGGCAACTTTTTATAATAATTGTGATGCTTCAGAACTTGAGGCTCCTACAATTATTTATTAGTAAACTTATCTAGATGTGATTAAGATTAGTTTCACTTTCAGACCTAATTAAATTATCTGTTATAATTATATGTAAGAAGGGTTTGTTAAAAAGAAAATGTAATACAATACGCATGTCAGACAACTTGTAATAACTTATATTAAGAAACTATTAGGTTTCATTATTGTCATTTTTATTATAGCGATTTGAGGTATTTTTTTAAGAAAGAGGGTTTTCCAAAAAAAAAAAATCTAATCTTTCAGATAATGTATTCTTTCAAACATGATTTTCATAATTAATTTAAATTTGTTAAATATACAAAATTACAATTAAAGGTTAAAAAAAATATTCATGTAATTTCATGATGTTTAACGCATTTTAATTAGTAATAAGACGTTTCATGAAAAATATTAGAAAAAATATTTAATGATATTTTTTTAGGTTGTAATTAGTTTATTGCACATGATACTGCTTAAAGAAATGTTACTAGTAACCAAATTGCAATTAAAATTTTGGTATAATTACTTTTTCAAATTATTAGAATTACTAAGATAGGGTTAATTCCATCGGTTTAAAAAATCTAAAATAAGTTAGATTAGTTAATAAATTTGTTATTTTATAATTATTTAGATTATAATTTTTTGTAAATGTATCAACTTACTCGTTTTAGAAATAATTATTATTATTTAAATAAAAATAATAATATTTTAATAAAATATATTATTATAAATTAATTTAATAACAAATTATTTATTTTAAAAATTAATATAAAAATAAATTTTTAATTTTTATTTATTTTAATTAATAAGTAAGATGAATTATTATTTTAAATTAATAAATTACTAAAAAATATATAATAAAAAAAGATTTTTATTTTTATTTTAAGATTAAATGAATGTTTTTATTTATAATTTATATATTAAATTATTATATTTAAAATAAAAATTAATTATTTTAATATAATAAAATATTTAAAAATGTTTTTATTTTATTTTTAATATATATTTAAATACTTTTTTAATTAATTATTTTAATATAAATATATTAATAAATTTTTTTATAATTGTTAATCAAATTAAAATTATTCCATTAACTTGGTAATCTAAAAAATATTATCATAGATTAAAAATACAAGCAAGATTGACTATTCAGTTTTATTTTTTAATCATGAAACTAAACTGGTCCCTCGTGATGAGACCTGTCAATTCGTAATAGGAATAATTACTTTTTACGCAGTGATTTTTTTTTTCAGCTATTTTTTTTACGCAAATTGATTCAATGTGTTTGACGGAGGAAATCATTTTACAAATAAAGTATAAAATGTAACTATTGAGTCAAAATTATGATTAAAATTTAAAATATATGTATATATGCATACTTAATCATAATTCCAACGATATACTACAGAAAGCGACAATATTTTTTATTAATAATTTACTTTATCCTCCATAGTTTATCTCTCGTTCTATATAGAAGGTAAAAGGAAAAACGTAGAAAAAGAATACAAATGACGATAAATTTTCTTTTGATTAGTGAGTAAAAGTGAAAAAAGAATACAAGATTTGACTAATTTGAAGTTTTTTTTTGCTTTTAATTTCTCAAATTTTGCTTTCAGACTTATCTTCTCCTTGTATTCTTTCCAAATAGTTTCATTTTAAAATAGCATAAAATTTAGTACGTTGGAATACTGTATTATGAATGAAAGAAAAAAGGATTAAGACGATAAAAAATGATTGTTGCATGAGCATTCCAATAAAAAGTAACAAAAGCTTTGGTTACCAATACTATGTGTTCAACCTTCCAATAACTTGTTTACTAAAAGAAGTAAGAGTTCAATAAACCAGAGAAAGCATAAGAAAAGAAGTAGGGTCCCACATAGAGGTGAAGTCTCACTCTCTAGCTCCCTCGAGTGACGAGGAAATATTAGTTTCCTTGGAGAACAGTGTGATCTGTTTCCCCGAATCCCCATCCCTCTGCTACGCATTCAATTTCTCCACGGAACCACTGGGCGTGGATCAAACGTCATCATCCCCTCTTAATTCAACTACTGCTATCATTATTTATTGAACCTACCACCATTGCTGCATCCATCTTCTCAAACGTCACAAACAAAAGGACTCATGTTTCCAATCCACATTCTCATGCTTATCATCATCATTATTATTATTATTATTTTTATTTTTATTATACACAAAGCTCCATCCCTTCCCCCTCCATACCCATAATATACATTACAATATATTACATACCCTCCTCCTCCTCTTTTCCCATGCAGTAGGAGAAGCAAGCATCCAACCCTAACAATTCACCCTCAGGCTTCTGTTCCACCATTGAGTCTGAATCAATTAAACAATTAATAAAAATAAATAAATAAATATTTCATATAAGGAACCAACTTCAAAACCATACTTGATACTTGCAATGATTTCTCACTTTTAATTCACTAAAAGAGATTCTCCTCTCTGCCAGCCAGCCAACCAACCAACCAACCAGCCATGTCCTTTGTTGGATTGGAGTTGCAGGAGCAGAGAAAATATATGAATTGTGAAAGGAACCAATGGTGGTTGCTGCCTCACAATAACAATTTCATATCACAAGGGTTTTTCTGGATTCAATCAGGGTAAGTAATCAAATCAGAGGGTTGCCAAGCAGAGGCAATCAACAGAGACAAATCCTTCCAACCAAGCTTCAAGGAACCGTTTTCTTCAACTAGAGTATAACCTCTCCAAGGGTACATTCCAAGCAACAAACTCGCCTGTGCAGCCGGGTTTCCCCGGAGGGAAACGGGCCGGAACCCGGCCCGTTTCAGCTCATCCGCCCACCTTTCGACCTTAACCTCTCCGGTCCTCTTGGGCCCGCCCACGGCGACGATGTTCCTGATCTCACAGCCCAATAGCTGCTGCTCCACCGTGTGTCTCTCCAGGCTGTCCGCATCCAAACCATCCCCAAGCGCGTCGAACAACGCGCTGTAATAATGCAAGGCCTCCACGAACCGCGCCAGGAAGCTCCCCGCATGGCTTAGATCCTGCTCGACGGTCGTGATCAGTTTCGGCCTAAGCTGAGTCAGCAATCTCAACGTCCCTAAATCGCTGCCGGTTATATCATATAAGCAATGATGCATCCAGTGCACCACGATCGCTTCGTTAGGTCGAACACCGAGTTGACTGAGTTCGGTCACGCTTCCGATTTTCCCCTCCACCGGGTGAAACTCGAACGGTAGCCCGAGCGAGCTCGCGAAATCCGCGAGTCTCCGACCGGTGGAGTCGAGGAGCTCCGAGGAGGATCCGAATCCGGTGATTCTCATGGAGCGGATCTTCTTCGTGCGAGAGGCGAGGATGTGGAACAATCCCGGCCATTGGAGGCCTTGCATGATGTCGAGGTCGATGATATGGACGCGATCCTCGCCGTCCAGGGCCTGGAAGATGGCTTGGTTCGCTGTGAAGTGCGAGAACTTCACCAGCGGCGAGACTGAGTTGTAGGATTGGAACGCGTTGAAGATTCGCTGCGACTGAGTTAGGGTTACCGATTTCGCGGTCAGCGGGGAGTAGGAGCCGAGGCAGGAGCTCACCACGCGCGCCTGCAGCGCCTGCGCGAAGTACGCTCCGACGCGCTCCGGTGAGGTACCAAACGGCGACGAGAGTTCGGCGATCTCCGGGAGGAGGTCGTTGGCGAAGTGGAGGTTGTCCATGGCGACGCACTCAGCGCATTGCAGTAGGAGGCCGAGGAGTTTGAGGCCGGTGGAGTCCCCGCCGTGAGTTTCAGCATCGAAGGCCTGCTCCTCCTCGGCGGTTTTATCGGCGGAGAAGTTGGTTCGCTTGAAGGAAGGTTCGTCGGCTGGGGAATCAGCGGTTTCAACGGCGCGCTTAGTTTTCATGTCGTTAGGGTTGGAAGTGCGGGGGGATCGCGGGACCAAGCTTTGAAGCATGATCGGTGGAGAGCGAAGAGAATCGAAAGCTTTGGAGGAAACTTTTGGGGGAAAAGTGACAAAACTGAGAGGGGAAGGACAAGGAAAGTTTTAGCAGATAGGTAGAGCCTGTGTCAGAAAACGAGTGTTTGGTTTGGTGCGTGAGTGTGAGAGATAGAGAGAGAAACATAAACTTTTAGTGAGAGAAAATCTTAGAGAGAGATAGAGGTAAAAAAAGGAGACAGAAAGGGTGATGACTTTGTAGCCAGAAAAGTTAGTTTGGGTTGGGTGTTATGTAATGTTATCCTCTTTGGGTCCTCCTCCGTTTTCTTTTCCCTCTGTCCTTACCTTCGTTTTATATCGCTATTTTTCCCCCATTAATTAATCTCTGTCGCTAATCATCGGCTTCGGGATTAATTAAGGAACATTACTTTCCTAATGCCCTCATCACTTTGCCTCTCCCGATAACCCTTTTTTTTAGCTCATCACTATTTGTCCCCTATGTCCTACCAGTAGGACACCCGAAAATGATATGTCTCCTTTTCTTCACTATTCATCCACACCACAAAACTCTTTTTTTTTTTCTTTTTTTTTATTCTTCCACTTGCGTCCTATCTTTATTTTTTCCGTCACCTAAATTGCGTATTACTAACTAATATTAAATTACATCGTTTAAATTTAATTTCTCGCCGTTAAATTTAGCTAATGTTTAAATTCACTGCTCACTACTCTTAATCAGATAAGTAAAAAACTGTTGTCAGCATTTTTATTTGTATCAGATTTTTATTTATTTTTTACTTACAATGAAAACAACCTCTAGATAAAATTATAGTGTAAACATTTATCCAATCCCAGAACAACCTACTTTTAATTTTTTTTTACATGGGTATCTAACCCCTAAGGTTGGTAGCATGACCCCACGTATTAGTCAACATTCTTAGAAAAATAAGTTTCTTACTTTTTTTTTTTGTTTTTTCAATTTCATTCTAATAATCATATGATAATAACTATTAAATAAGTCAGCAAAAATACTCCATTCCATCCGTAGAAAACACTTTTATTTTATTTCTAAATAACATGGCTCCTGCTTATCAAATACAACCTTTATGATATTATTTAGGTATTTTCGATACTCACAAATTGTTCTGTATACTTATAAAACTCTCTCATGTAATAAGTCAACATTTTCAATAATCTGAGTTAGTTAAGGTGACCAAATTAGTAGATCGTTAAAATAAAATTTGAAAATTTACTCAAGTGGGAAGAGTAAAATGTTCATCCTTTTGACTTTCTCAATATACTAATACTATTTTATTTTTTTTATAATTAAACTTCATATACTATTTACGTAAATATAAAAAGAAGATTATCTTCACTTCACTTTATTTGTAAATTAGATTTTTTAACCATTTGCTTCTTTCAATTTACTATCATTCATCTTTATTTTTAAAAATTAAATTTAATATTTTAAAAAATATCAATGAGTATAAATAAGTTTATATACTTATTTAAATTTTTCATTGCAAATTCAAAATGTAAGTAATAAAAAATAACTTATATTCTCTACAAATATTCTTACTGTCTTACAAAAGAAAGTATTAAATGAAAAACAAATATCTTACCTTAAAGAAAAATGACAGTATAAAAATAAGAAGATCAATAGGAAAATAACAAATATTAGCAATATATTTTTTTTATCATTTATTACATCTTATTAAAAATATAATCTGTTATAAGTTATGTGATGTTTAATGATCTTGTTACAACAACACCGCCGCCAAAGACATGGGTGCAACCCAGTGTCCCCTTCCTTCTTATCCACCCAGATGATACATACATACATACACCTCTGCCAACCATCTCAATCTCCTGCGTTGCAACCGAAATCTGATTTCCATGATGACGTCAAACAACATTTAACCAAATACATAAAACCAAACAATTTATCACAACTTATCAATGTTTCACTCTTCGTTCGCCACACAATTACTCTTATAAACAAAATTTGAAATATTTAATTAAAGCATCAGTTATTTTAAATAATTTTATATTTGAAAATTATATATAATATAATAAGTTATTTAAATCTTTTATAATTATTTATTAAATAATCTAAAAATATATAAAAAGAGAATGATTATTTTAAAATTTATTAAAATAAAATCAATTATAAAAAATAACATTTTTATGATAAAAAATTTAAATATTAGAAAAAAAATTATGTTCAACCATTAGATATGTGTGATAAAAAAATCAAAATATTAGAAAAAAGTTATTATGTTTAGATTTTATCACAACTTAGCAATATTCCTTTCTTTTTTTTTCTCGTAAACAAAATACTAGTAACAAAGTGAAAAAAATTATGTTTTAATTTTACAAATAATAAGTTAATAAAAGATATTTTAAGAATTTTTTAATAGATAACATATTTTATAAGAATATAAAACTTACTTCACACATTTATTATAAAATATATAACAAATAACATTTCGATTATAATTTTAAAATTGATAATTTTATATGCTTTCATGAGTATTGTGAGTTGTTAAAGAAATGATTTTATTTAGTTTAATTGTTTTCTTAATGTTGTGTATGTTCATTGTTAACGCGGATGGATATGAGATGACTTGAAAGGACTAGAAAAGTTTGGTTCTATAGAAATATAAAAGAATGGAGGTAAAAAACAAAGAGAAACGATCCCCACAATAAGAATGAAAAGCTGAGAAAGTCTGCATGCTAAAATCAAAATTACCATTTTATCTACAAATTAATTTCCCATTTATCAGCAACTCATTTATCACCAAATTTAACCATTTATTTTACAATATTACAATATCACCAAATTATGTATTAATTATTTTTTTTAAATAATTTTAATTAAATATTTAAAATAATATAAATTTTATTTTTTAAATTATCTTTAAATTTTCTCTATTAATTTTTATCCATAAAATTATTATACTATACAAATTATTTAATATAATAATATTTATAACAATAAATATATAAATAATTATTATTATTATCTTAATAATTATTCTAATAAAATTATAATTATAAGCATAATTATTATTATTATTATAATTTTATATCATTAATTAAAATAAAAATAATTTAAATATTTATAATATTTTAAATTCTAACACTAATAATCATTTTCATTAAAGATAATTTGATAATCTCATTTTTCTATTATATTATTTTTCTATCACATCAATTAAATCAAACAAACTTTTTTTCTATTTTTTCCCATCTTTTATTGTTAATCTAGACCTCACTTTCACTCGAGGTTGATCATTTTTCCCTCTCTCAAATTGATATTATATTCTAAACCTGCACAAAGTACAGTGAGGAAATGCCTTTTCAAATAATTTTAAAACATTAGTTTTTCCCAAGGTATTCGGTGTTGATTGGCATGAATGAATTAAAAATTACACCAAGTACGATTTATAATTAATTACTACCAAAGTCAATATTACTTAACACATATTTTAGTGATTGCATTAAATAATAATAATAATAATAATAATAGAAATTTTATTTTGACACCCAATTTTCAAAATATTCATTCTACAACTTTTATTTTAATTACATATCTTAATATAATATTATTATTATTATTTATTGTTATATTATTATTGTTGATTGAATGTATTTGATGTACATATACCATCCTCTAATAATAATAATAAAATACATTTAAGTAATACTTCAAAAGGTATTGTAAGATAAATACAAAAAATAATAGGGCACAGTCCACCCTAAACACGTTTCATGCAAATATAATTAGTGCAACGAAGCAAAATTTTTACGAGAAATAGATTTCTGCTCACTAAGGCAAAAATATATTTTTTCAAATATTATAGAAGTAGGAAGAAGAAAGTAAATAAAGCTTTACAGCATCGTTTAGCCATTTAGGTACAAAGTTTTCTAGCTGCCCAGACATCAATTCAGAAGAAAAATGTGCTCCATAGCAATATCAACTCGCACTCAAATTATTAAAAATTCAAACTATAAATGAAATAAAACATTAACCAACCCCCATTTCTTTTACATAAAATTAAGAATAGGAATGAAAACAAGTTCCTGACCAACCTGAAGACTTGAGCTTGAAAGCATGCAACAAAGAAAGCTTTTAATCTGATAGTTAATCTTAATCAACGGGAAAGGAAAAAAGAGGAAAATCATGATGAATAACAAAAGCAAAAGCACATACAATGCTGATACTAGTAACGCTTCCCAAGAATTATGCCAAACACAATGGAAACCAGAGCTACTCCCAAGATGAACTTGAAATTTATGACTGCCGAATCCTGGCCACTTTGAACATGAGTCTCGGACGTAGATGATGTTTGAGCACTTGATACTTCTGACTTTTTCTTGCTTTTCCTTTTTGATGGAGTCGAGAGGCTTGATCCAATGTCCCTGGACTTGACTTCCAACCCTTCTTTCTGATCAACACCCTCATCACCCTGGAATATCATTAGAAAATAGAAAAAACCTATCATTTAATTACAGAATAGCAGAGAAGAAGACATTTCTTATGTCGTATTCAAATGTTTTGAATTTTTCGATTATATTTTGACAAGGTACAGTAGCTAATTTGACTTGGGGGGCCTTCAAATTTCGACATTCTCCAATCATGATCACTATATGCTCTGAACATCACCCGAAAGTCACCCCCTCTTTCTCAATTAAGCCAATGGAAATACTGCCGAGGAAGTGTTTCCGGGGAATTTTGTGTTATTAGGCAAATTTAAATGAATGTAAATCATGTTATTTCTGGTTTTTAAACTACAAGTAAATCATTCAAGGACCAACACCAGTGGTTGGGAACTTTCCGGGGAGGATTACCTTAACTGAGGATTTATCACCAGCCAATTGCAATTTCTGCTCTAGATCTGTCACTTGTTTCTGTAAAAGAGAGATATCTTTTTTCTTAATTTCAAGTTCTTCAACAGAATTCTTCAGGGTTGTCTCTAGTTCCAACTTCTGAGATTCTGCTCCTTTCTGTAATTTTTTTTTTAATTAAAAAAGCAATCAGTATGATGCACAATAACACATCACTTGTATGAGTTTTATACTTGTCACAGACAGACAGAGGTAGATCGACATGAGGTGGTCAAAGAGAAAAAACACAATGACGAGAGGATTAAGTTCAAATATCTCCTTTTCTTAGCCTTTCTCTTTCAACACATCCTGCTACCATGAAAAATAAAATTGCAATTCCAGTAAGAGTACATGGGATACCTGGTTAGCAATAGCATCCCGTGCAAGTTGCAATTCTTTCTCCAGTTCTGCAACCTTCTCGTTCAGCACATTTCTGTCATTGAATTTTTGTGCATAGTCCTCTAGTTTTGAATTTAACTCTGCTTCTCTTTGACAAGCAGCAGCTTGAACACTTTCAACCTGCAAAACATCGGATTAATCAGCAAAGCCCGTTCAATATACTACATTAACAAGTTTTTAGTTCTGATAGGTACTATGTTTTTGAACATTGCATTTATTTACAAAAAGTAGGAACTCTCAGCATCACCTCTTCATTTAGTCTAGATTCAGATTTTGTCAGTTGCCCTTCAATTTCCTCTAGCTGTCTTTGCAACGCAGATTTCTCAGCAATCTCAGTTTTGAGATTTTCGATCTCATATCTCAGAGAGACTTCAATTTTCTGTTGTTCCTTCGACTTCTCTTCAAGATCAAGTATAAGGGACTGAAGTTCCTTCTTTATATCCTGATTAGTCTCATTGAGCAAGTTCTTCTCGTCAATCACTGAAGATATCTGCAAGTTGATATAATTTCATTATCAATTCTCCAAATAATATGGTTTAGACAAAATGGTTATTTCAGAAGTTTCTTTTACCACCAATACCAATGGAAGAAGGAAAAGTAAAGAAATATCACGTTGAATATTTGTATCTCATGTACCTGTGAATTCAATGTCTGCACCTCTGCACTGTGCTTTGTCACTAATTCTTCAATGGCATTCTTCGAGATGAGTATCTCTTTAGCTGTTTCATCCTTCTCAATAAGTGCTGCAGAGAGATTTGACTGCAAATCACTTAATTTGGATTCATAGATAGCTATTTCCCGATTAAGCTTTGAGTTTTCTTCATTTAGCCCTGAAGTTTCTTTTTCATGGTGGAGTGACTTGTTTTGCAGTTCCTCAATGACCGTTTCAAGATGCTTTAATTTTACCAGACTCTCCTCCAGCTCAGTTTTCTGAGTTTGTGAAGTTGCAACTGCTTCACGGGCCTGTTCTTCGAAAAGCTTTATTTGGCCCTCTAGAGTATTCAGCTTCTCATTCAACTCTTTGGTTTCTGATTCCTTCTCAGAATGCCTATGCAATGCTTCTTGTAATTGTGATTCTACTTCTAGAATTAGGGATTCATTTGCACTTTGAATTTCAGTGGATCTTGATTGTAAATCATTTAGTTCAGCTATACTGTTCTTATGGGACACAAGTTCTCGAGTAGTGGCTTCCTTCTCTGATAGTGCACGGTTCAATGATTCCTCAAGTTCATCAATCTTGGTTTTCAGTTGAATGTTTGTTCCAACCAATAATTCATTTTCAGAAAAAGACTGAGAACTCTTGCTCTCGGCTTCTACAATTTGCCGTTTCAAATCTTCATTTTCACTTTCCAAAGAAGCCAGTTTGCTCAAACTCCCCTCAAATTCATTCCTCAAGGACGTAGACTGTTCCCCAGCTTGTGCCATCTGTTCCTCCAAAATCTTAATTTTCTCAATCAGAGACTGAACCTCAGAATCCTTCTTGCTGAATTTTTCTATAGCTTCTTGGAGCTTCTGTTCTGCATCTCTCGTAAGAGACTCATGCAACGATTGAAGTTCCGAGTGTCTTGTAGCAGTCTCCTCCATATCTCTTCCTCTTATGACAAGATTTTCTTCTGAAGCTTTAAGTTTCTCAATTATATCACCCTCTCTTAATTCAGCAGCCCTGAGATCACTTTCAGTGCTTTGTAATTTAACTTGTGTAAGATTTAAATCATCCCTCAAAATTTCCAATACATTTTCTTTCTCAGCAAGCTTCTCATTCAAACTGTTTGAAGCATCTTCTAACTTTTTCTTTTCATTCGTCACTGCATTCAGAGAATCTTCTAACTCCTTTCCTCTTTCATTAGCAGCTTGCAGTGTAATTTCGAGGGTTGAGGTTCGTGCCTGAATTGCCTCTAGTTCTGATGTCAAATTCGACACATCATTTACGTATTTATTGGCTTGTGCCTCTGAAACACTACACTTTTCTTCTAATGCGCTTATTTGTTGTTCAAGTTCCTGCATTCTGTATTTCTCGGCTTCAAGCAACAACTCCAACTCACTCACCTTTTTATCAGAATCTTCCAATTTGGAGTGAGAGCTCTGGATTAAATCTTCCAGTTCCCGGCTACGCTGATGGTTCATACTGGCTCGGTCTTCATGCTCAGAACATTTGTCATTGACTAACTTCAGCTCCTTCTCTAACTGTGAACTCCGCAGAGATGATTGATTCAAGTCTGATTCAAGTTGAACTACCTTTTCCATGTACTCTTGCAATTGGCGGTTAAGAAGATTCTTCTCTTCCTCGGCCTCGTCCAATTTAGCGTTGAGATGGGATATTTTTTCGGACAATTCAGTCACTTCTCTGTCAGCATCACTGGTTTTTAATTGAACTAAGTTTAATTGTTGCTCAAGCTCCCCATTCTTCTGCTCTGCAGCTATGAAGCGTGTTTCTAGGTCCCTCAATTGTGCTTTTGCCACTTCTGCAGCTTCAATTGAATTCTGAATATGTCCCTCAAGTTCAAGGCTCCTTTGAGTAGCAGTAGCTGCAGCAGCTCCAGATTCATTATGGAGATCTTCCAACGACTTCACCTTCAGCTCAAGCTCTGCATTGTTTGAAAGTGCCTGAGATAAAAGAGAATCTGTTTTAAGAAAGTTTTCGTCTGATAGCTTCAGTTTTTCCTCTAAATCGGCGCATAACCCCTCAAACTTCTTCGAATTACGGGTTAGATCTTCCACGGTTGCTTCAAGAGTTCCCTTTTCTATTTTAAGTTTAGTCAACTCCTCTTGTACATTGAGAAACTCTTTTTCCTGATTCTTGAGTGCAGCTTCAATTGATTCCCTCAATTTTTCCTCCTCCTGCAATTTGGACCTTGCAGTTTCCAACTCAGAATTTTTTTCTTGCAGTTCTTCCTTCGTAGAGGCCAATAGATTTTGAAGTGCTGATATGTCTTCCTTTAGCTGTGTTTCTGAAGTCTTTATCAGGTTTAATTCATGGGTCAACTCATCCACTAAAGAGTCCCTTGAAGACAGTCTTTTCTCAACTTCCAACAACTGTGATTTTGAAAGTGTCAGCTCCTCTTGGATAGTAGAGAGTTCAGCAGTTGTTGTTTTAAGTGCTTCTTCAATCTTTTGATTTTCAGCAATCTTATCATAAACACCCTTCAGTTCTTCTTTTAGGGAGGCCATCTCATCTTCCATTCCTTTTGCAGTCAGTTTGGCTTCTTCAAGTAGTCTCTCAAATTCTAAGGCCTTCTTTCCCTCGGATTCAGCATGTGACCCACTTTGCTTATGCAGTTCCTCAAATTTCCGTGCCTCATCTGCTGAACGTTGCAGCTCATCCTGCAATTCCTGCATCTTCTTTCTGGAGTTTTCAAGCTCAAGGTTGATATCATCGAATGCTTCCTTCACATGAAGAAGCTCCTTTTGCTTCCCTTCTTGACTTTGCAGTGCCTCTTCAAGATTGCTGAGCTGCTGATTATATTTATTCTCAGCTTCAACCATCTGCTCTTGCAATTTCTTGTGACTCAGTTCAAGCTCTTCACATTTCTTTCCACTTTCCTCCAATTTCTCTTTTGTAACCGAGATCTCTCCCCTCAGGTGATTGTTTTCGTGCTCAGAGGTCTTCAAAGATTCTGTTAGTCTTTGTAGTTCAACCTCAAGTTCCTGTATCTTCTCTTGAGCTTCTAGAAATTCTCTGCTCGGAGAATCTGAGCTTCTTTCAGTTTTGTGAGCCTTGTCATCTACAGCGTTCTCTTCTTTCTCAACTTTAATGAATTCGCCATCTAAGGCATTCTCTTCCTCTTCTTTCTTTACTTCACTTGGCAAGTCTCCATTTGTCTCCTGCAATAAATCATCAAAAAAATGTACATTAAATATAGTTTGTAATCAAAGCTTGCTATTACAATACTATCAAGAATCAATAGTTGAGTGAACAGTGGAACAACTAGGAATTTTGACCTATGGTAAATGACTTTATGCAAATAGTCTATTAAGAGTTACAAGATATAATCTCAGGCTCTTGTTAATGGATTAAGAGTTCAGTAAGTGCTCATATTATTGCTCTAATGATATAACATATGGATACTAAAGCTGATGCTCAAAGATGGAGGCATCAAGTAGAGAATAATATTTTATGAATTGTGAATACTTATAAAGTCTAAGTGTTGAACAAATAAATATACAAAAAATAAATTATACACAAGTGTCAACTAAATGAAATGCTAAGCACATACTACCATTAATTGTTAAAAAAATGTTATAATGTAATGTCTCCTATAACTAAATGATCATCAATTAAACAATCAATCTTATAACTTCTATGTCTCATGTAAGCTATCTGGACTTGAAATTTATAAATTTTTAAACTATATACAGCACAATAGCGTCTCTATTTTCTCTATCATCTAATTCAGTTCTCATCTACCATTCTCGTAATTCAATCCCATCTCCACAACCACGCAAATATTGAGTCTAAAAGGAACTAGGTATTCACAATCACTGGATTCCATAAAATTTTCAATTGGAACTAGATACCTCCTGATCAGGGAAATAACGATAGCACTGCAAGGTATGATGCTAAGAGAAGCTTTAGAAAGAACTTTTAACTCAATACTACTTTGTACAGAAAGCAAATTATAAAATAACGAGTGCAAGAAGACAATGATACCTTGATGCCATCTTTCTTATGATCTGCCTCCTCAACAACCTTTGTCACTGGAACTTCTGATATGACTTTGGTCTCTTCTTCCATGTTCACTTCCTTATATTGACTGCTTAACAAGTAAAGAAGAAATTGGAGGAATTTAGATGTTGCTGGTGGATAGACTTGGTTGTTGTTGTACAGGTACTTAATTCACAATCCCTTTAATGTAATAAAAAAAACGGAAAATGAAGAAAAAGAAAAATAGATAGAGGGAGGGGGACCAAATTAGACCAGAACACCATTATTTTTCATCATCGCTATACCATACAAATAAAAAAACAAATGTACAAGGTTAAAATGTTCATAAAAAATACGCAGGTTTATGTTAATATGTTAATTTACACTTTTAAGAAAATGATGAAATAAGAAATATTTATTATAGCGACAAAATTATTCTCTCTCCCTCTTTCAAAATCTCTCAAACTCTTTAGAGATTTAATAAAAGCTAACGAAAAGAAAAAATTTATTGGAACAACAATTTAAAAAATAAAAATGTAAAAAATTATTCTTATATAATATAAATCACTCTACAAACAACATAATTCTTCTTACTAATATATCCATCCTATTTTAATATGATTTGATATGATTAATAAATATTTAATATTAAGGTATTCTTGATTATAAGAAATTTACATAGATATATTTATAAATATTTATGTCCAACAGATTCTAATCATTCTTAAAAGTGATAATTATAATTACAATTATAAAATTCATAATTTACAAAAATTATAATTTTGAGATATGAATGACTTTCCTTACAGTAATTGTCCCAGAATATAAATGAATATTTCAATTTTAAAATCTAGAAATTAAAAAAAATACAGAATCAATAAATATTAAAAAAAAATCAGTTCTTATTATTAATATGGGCAAGTAAATATAATTTTACATTACAATATAATGTAAAAAATTATAAATATTTATCAAATATATGAATCGAAGGATAGTATAATGTAAAATGATTAACTGAACTTTATTACGTCAAAATCTTATTTACATTTCCATGCAATACGAAAGATCCATCCCGAGCATGTGTGGAAAAAAAGTAATAATGGCAAAGATTAACAAGTGTCCTCAATATTAATAAAGAAATTAAAAAACATTTTTATTAAAAAATTACTCACCCCCTGTAATTTTCTATACATAATTTATAAATTTTTTATATTATTTTACTAATAATTAATTAAGAGTTACAGGGTAATAAATCCCTTGATTATATTAATTACATATGCAAAAGATTTGGTCTGGTTACTGGTTTTGTTAAGGATGAAGATGCCATGTGGGCCCCTAAAATGCTGTGTTACAGCTTGATCTCACACATAAGACATTTCCCTGTCCATCACCACCCATGCCACCAATACCATGCTATGACTTCTTTTTTTCTCTTGTATCAGAGCTTTGGGCCTATTCCCCAAATGTTTTTCTTCTTTTATTATACTTTTCTAAAAATTCAATTTACCGTTGATTTTCCAACATGAAAGAAGATTTATATATCTGGAACGTTGGTTAGAGATGAACATCATGGGACCCAAAGATCCAACATTCAAACATAAAAAATGAATCAACACGGAATTTGCTAATATCTATGATATGTAAGTAGGACCTCTTTCGATAGTTAGCTACAAAGCCCCCCACCAAACCTTTTCCTTTCCCATAGCAAAGCTAACCATATCATATATTATTTAGGGATGTTTTTTAAAATTTAAATAAAGATATACGCAACAAAGTTCAAGCGCGTTAATTTCACTTCTTTTCAGTAACGGTAAATCGTAATCATCTGCGCTCCTCACGATGATACTTTCTGCAATTTTAAAATTTTGAAAATTCATTTTAATAAATAATTTATTGATCTTACTATTATTTTCTTCTATGTTACTCAATAAAGTTACTACAAATATATTTTCTCGAGTAGTTATCATAGAAATAGAAACCTTAATGTAGATATCAATATGTGATTGAATAATATAATTTGTTTTTAATATTATCAATTATAATTAAATTTGTATTAATAGTTATGATTATTTACTAAATTACAATAATTATGTAAAAATAATAGTTAAAATTCAGTAATTGTCAAACAAAATATTTATCAGTCAGCATATGATAAAATAAAAGTGTTTATAATTCACTGTTAAAAAAAAAAACTTGACCGCCAAACAATAACTATTTGTTTTACTTGATCATGGTTAATGTTTTACTCTTGCAAGTATTATAGCACAACAAAATAATATATATTTTTTTTTCATGAAACAATCCTCTTAGATGGCAAGTTGGAAAAGGACAAAATCAGTAAAAGTGGAGGTCAGGATCGTGTTTTAACAAAAAGAGTAGGGGTAGTTGTGAACTTGAAATAAAAAGTTAGGAACAAAAGTGAGGCTGACAGAGGGCTGAGATTCCTGAGGAGGCCTTTTAAAACAGTAATACACAGTGAGGTGAGAGAAAGCTACGGTTTCTTTTATTTTATCTTTTGAAATAACTTTTTTTTTTTCATCATCTACCCTACTTCTTTATGCAGTATAAAATTTACATCAAGTTTTATCTGAATGTTTACATATATTTTATATTTATCTGAATGTTTACATATATTTTATATATTTACCATTAAATTCAACAACAACAAGATCTAAACAGATATGAAAATCAGAGTATATAAAATGTATTAAAAAAATCACCACCTAATGTCTGAAAGCTATAGAAACAAGTAGTTTTTCTAATTTCTACAAAAACATCTCAACAGGAACTGCTGATTGTCTTCTGAGATCGATCTCCGGATCAAAACCATTTCTCGATAAAACCAGGGCAATTAATATGACAAGTATCAAAAGAGTAGAAAAACTCAAATTAAACATTCGTAAGAGCAAAAGTTAGAGATGAAAATTGAAGATTAAACTAATTAAATTAAACTGAACGCGGTCAAATTCTGATAATCGGTGATAATCATTAACCATTTCTGATCAGAGTGGTCAAACACTCTTAAATAAAAATACAGAACAGCTCAGAATCACGATCGTATTCAGCCAAATGGATAGATAAACGGATTCTGACTCGCGCTGAATACCGATCAAGTCTCAAAGATCAAACAGACAAATCAGATTGCATGATAAGATCAAGCAGAGAAATAAGATTGCATGATAAGATCAAGCACACAAACAAGGTTGCATGATGAGAAGAATGAAAACAACACACAGCACTTTGGATGCAGAGATAAATAAAAGCAGAAAATAGAAAGAAGAAACAGAGAGAGTAACTGAAAACACAAGGTCGAACACAGCAAGGGTGGTGATTGGTCAATTCATTCGGCGTGATAAACCCACACACAATATATACGATCATAAGAGTAAAGAAAGGGGAAAGAGAAAGAGAATTCTTGCCTGGGAAAAGTAGCTTTGCTTTGATTTGGTTCAACTCCAGAAAATGTTTAGTATTTGTTTGAATCTGAAAATTAAAAAAAAAAAGTTGGAAAAAATGGGGGAATGGAGTGGTGTGTGGTGTGATGATGGAAGTTGAGAAAATGAAGAAATGAGGGAGAAGAGGGGTATATAAGTGAAGTTAAGGAGAGGGTAAGAAGAGATGAGAGACGAGTGTTTTTTTTTTTTATTTCTCCTTCTTTTGGAGCATTGAGACAAAGGTTGGTGGGGTCATGTAATAGCCAACCCGGCACATAAGTGGGTGGGAACGCCGCTAGTTTTGATATTGCCATCTTTTTTTCCCTTTATTTACCAAACCCAGTCCCATAAATCCTTCTCTTCTATTCCATATAGTCAAAGTAAAAAATTATCTTTTTCATGCAAAAAAAATAATAATTAATTTTTAATTATTTAGCTAATATGAAAATAAAACTAAATTAATTTACCTTTTTTTATCAAATTAAATAAAACTCAATTAATTTACCCTTTAATTAATTCAAAGTAAAATTCAATTAATTTCTTTTTTCAAAGAGTACTTTACATTGTAGGAATTCAAGGGCCAAAATGTGCATTTTGTTTAGGTAAGTTCTCAATAAGGTTGTTTAGTTTACAGTGGTTTTAAAATTTAAAAATAAACTAATTTTAAAAAGTTTGATCAAATTAAATTAGTTTTAAAACAAAATTATATAATGATAATAATGAGTAAAAACTTATATTAATAATAATAACTCCATGACAATATTGATAATAATTGATAATTATAATAGTAGTGGGAATAAGGGAAATAGTATTTAAAAAATAATTTATTGTATTATATTTTTTTAATTAAAAACTAAATTTACAGAAAAAATGGTTTAAAAAAATTAAAAGCATTTTAAAATTAAAAAAAACTTTTAAAAATGAAAATTGTATATCAAAACCAAACATACAAAAACTCAAGAGATGTCATAAAATTTATTTTTATAGATCGTAAAGTTAGTCTAACTTTTTTTCTTTATTGTAAATATAATTGTAGTTAATTAAATAATTAGCACAATAAAATTTGTCCTAATAAAATGATTAATTTGGATTTGTTTTGTCGAATAATTTTAAAATTATAAAAAATAGAGAAATATTATTATGTGAGATTAAACTTTGAAGACATCTGTCATTGATAATTAAGATAAAAACATAATGTAAGAAGGTTTTGACCATAAGTAATAATTTGAGATTTTCAAAGATAAAACTATTAATGAATTGTTATGATTTTGTTTAAACATCACTTCTTAATCATTAATACATATTAAATTTATTGATTTGAGGCTTATTTATTTATTTATTTTAAATTAATAAAATATATTTTCTGATATTAATCAATTATCACAGTGTATAGCTGGCGTTTATTATAATGAAGTTACTGAAATTATCATTAATTTTTATCATAACATTGTGTTGTTAGTGTTTTTTTAAACCGTTTTCAATTTTTTTTAATTTATTTTTATAAATAATTATTTTAAATTAATAATTAAAATTATTTTTAAAAAAGAAAAAAGAAAACCAAATCAAACATCTAAGTAAAAGTACTATTTGATCGTACATTATAAATTTATGGACCACCACTCATATAACCGAGTCTGTATATCAATTAATCGTGTG